AAAGAATATCTCTTTGGATTTGAGACTTTAGTCTTTGCAACTTTACAGATCGTATTTATGCACCAAGAGCTTGTAACACTCCAAAGAGAAAGGAAAAATTGAAATCGCATCACATGACCCCTTTAACACAAACCTGCAGTACTGAAACTGGTGAAGCACTTCTGTTATCCACTAGATGTCGGTGTTTATCTATGACAAACTTTTCCTTCCTCTAAATGACTGCCTGTTTTATTGGTAAATATAAAAAATGCTGCTCAGTTTCAACAGATAGCTTGTTTACTGTGTTTTCATATTTAAATGCTTTAACGCAGAACTTGTTTGGATGTTAAAATTGGTGACAACAAAGCCACAAACAAACAAACAAAAAACAGCATTTTTAATGTATGTTTAAATAATAATGAAGTGTATTAATTACACCAAATGAACAACATTTTGTTGCTATAAATAAATGTACATGGATTTCTAAACATCTGACAGCATTACAGATGGACACAGATCACTATCTCACACGTTTACCCTCTTCAGAGATCAAACCTCATTGTGTGGTTTTCTGCAGACAGCCAAAGAATTAATCTATCAGATGCCTCTGTCATTAGAGAAAAGCAGGAAATAGACACGAAGGAGACGTGGACAATAAATATTTAGCAAGGTAGGCCTAAATATTTTTGATAATGACCATAATTTTAGTAAATATATCTATCTATCTATCTATCTGTCTGTCTGTCTGATTTATTTATTTAGGCCCATTTATTTATTTATTTTACAATTGTCCACAGACGCTGGCATCAGTTATGAGAATGAGATGAACAGATTACCATGGTGATTAGCGTTGCCATGATTACACTAATTTTAGTACATATGAAATATTTTAAACTACTTTTCTTTTCTTTCTTTTTTTCCTTATGGTAATAATTTTTGAGTAGCCTGAGAGACATGAAAGTAGGAAAGTAGCTCAGTTACACGGATGAGCGAATTGATACAGGTCAAAGACTGTAATTTTAGCAGTTATAAGATATTTACAACTTTACAACTTTACCAAATCAGTGTTGTGCGGTGGTGTTCTGAAATGAGGAGCAAAAGTCCTCAAAGTTATTTATTTAGTTAGTTTAACTAAATATACATAGAATATAAATAACACATAAAAAAAAACTGAATTTGGTCTTTGTTAATGCATTAAGCCATATTAGGCATAATAATAACCTAAAAATGCACTTCATGTGTTAGATCTTTTAATATCAGGGTCATTATACAGAAACGTCCACTTTTGGTATGGCAAGATGTCTTAAAATGTATTTCTTTTTTTAACATTTAAACTTAGACCACATTATTAGATTGTCTTTTGACTTTATGAATACACATAAATGACAGCTTAATGATTTTTTAAAATATTTTTTGTATATTTATTTAAAGATCGCATGTACCCTTTTTTTTGTCACTGGTGTTACCTTACTTCTTTGGCAATTTTAATAAAGGTTTTTATGAAATATTATTTCTCTTTTATTTCAGCACATGTAGTCAGAGTTACATACAAATAATGATAATGCAACAAATAAGGAGATTATGTTTTATTTATTTTAATCAGGTTTGTTAAAAGTGGGACTGAATGATGTTAGTTCATTTGCACAAACATGTATTTGCTATAACAATGAAAATATTAGAAAAACAGTTATAAACAAGTAATGATACAATCCTTTAAATCTTAACTCTTGAGTGTAGCAGAATTCAATAGATGTAAAATTATTATCATGTCACATGTGACACATTTTATAGAATGTGACAGAAAAAAACACACAGTAACACCAGTGACATACATAAGACCAAACACCCTTATTCTTCAGCTATAATTAACAATTACTAAATTGTTACATTTGGCATACATTTGCCAACTAGTGAAAACAGTTAGTAAAATAACATAAACATCATTTTAAAACATTTGAACTAAACCAACTAAAATGTACAACAAAGTACAGTACATTGTCTAAACTGCAATTGTCCACTGCTATTTTATGTCATGCTCTTATACTACACTGAACAAAATTATAAACGCAACACTTTTGTTTTTGCCCCCATTTTTCATGAGCTGAACTCAAAGATCTAAGACTTTTTCTATGTACACAAAAGGCCTATTTCTCTCAAATATTGTTCACAAATCTGTCTAAATCTGTGTTAGTGAGCACTTCTCCTTTGCCGAGATAATCCATCCACCTCACAGGTGTAGCATATCAAGATGCTGATTAGACAGCATGATTATTGCACAGGTGTGCCTTAGGCTGGCCACAATAAAAGGCCACTCTAAAATGTGCAGTTTTACTGTATTGGGGGGTCCGAAAACCAGTCAGTATCTGGTGTGACCACCATTTGCCTCACGCAGTGCAACACATCTCCTTCACATAGAGTTGATCAGGTTGTTGATTGTGGCCTGTGGAATGTTGGTCCACTCCTCTTCAATGGCTGTGCGAAGTTGCTGGATATTGGCAGGAACTGGAACACGCTGTCGTATACGTCGATCCAAAGCATCCCAAACATGCTCAATGGGTGACATGTCCGGTGAGTATGCTGGCCATGCAAGAACTGGGATGTTTTCAGCTTCCAGGAATTGTGTACAGATCTCTGCCACATGGGGCTGTGCATTATCATGCTGCAACATGAGGTGATGGTCGAGGATGAATGGCACAACAATGGGCCTCAGGATCTCGGCGCCACACATGACATGCAGGAAAAAATATATAGATCGCACAAATTCGTTCCCTTGTTTTACTAAATCGTGCGCAAGACATTACTAAATCATTGCCACGTTTTAGTTTAATCCAATCAAGCATGAACTATTATATCATGTGCATAGGCTGGCTTGACTTTCGGCACCACACCGGATGTTCACAGATGACGACTCACTTGACTGGGGCAATGTAAGGACACGGGGTTTTCACTCGCTAATTTGACAGTTTACTAGAGCCTCACATGCTAAAATTGCTTAATATTTCACGTCGGTTTTCAATGCTTATATTTTAGTTGATTACTTTTAAACGTTTCTGACAGCTGTTTGTCTACTAATTTTTGTATAGTACAATTTCACATGCTTAGTCTACATTGCTTCTACTGATATGCTACTGCTTTTTTCCCACACAGTTACAGCTGTTGATTCCTTCTCAAAGTTATTGTCACCTCAAGATATAATGTTGTCACCCTACAGAGTTTTCAAGAAGCTGGTTTTAAGGACATTCATGTTACAATGAGGTACAGTAAACACATCCTTACTGATATTAAAATCTTTTGCTGTTTAACTTGTATATTTGTTTCAGGCCTAATGCAATAACACAACATATTTAATGCAGACCATGTAGTTCTTTTAGTACAATTTCATGGGCTTAGCGCCTATATTGCTGGTACTGATACTTGTACTTTTCTTTTTTTTACAGTTACAGCTGTTGGTTCCTCTTCAAAGTTATTGTCACCTCAAGATATAAGGTGTCACCCTACAGAGTTATCCTGAGTCAGTCAAGCTGTGTGAATGACATTCATTTTACAATAAGGTAATTGTGAACTTGCTCATTTTTAAACCATTTTTTAGTCTTGATTTTATTACTTGTGTCATGACCTCTTTATGTGACCTCTTTAATCATTAATAAGAAGGCATGTGATTTACATATGTGATTACTTTTCATACTTGCTGCCCACCACAGTCTCTGTGGCTCCATTTTTCCTCCTGTCTTATGTGTCTGTTTCAGATAAGCAGAGTTCAAAAGAGTAGTCACCACCGATCAACTGCAGTCATTCTTGGATGGACTAGACTAGATGCCTTGGTGTCTTTTAGAGCTGTACAAAGCAGCTGTATCATCAAGCAGGAGGTTGAGCCTTAGCAGTGTTATACAGTGCCTTGATAAGGAGGTATGAATACAAATGAACTCGATTTGATCAATTTGCTCTAATATAAGTGTTCTAATTTATATATTGGAGTCACTCAGTCTTGTTTATAATTGTATGTAGGACACAAATCTGAACAGAAGAAAAGCTGCCTTACTTAGCCTTCCACGCTTCCTTTCAGAGGACACTTCTGAGATAATCAAGATGTGTGATGTAAGAAAATATGTTTACACATTGTTAATGTACTGATGATACTAAATTCATTGTAGAGCAGTATGTGTAGGGAAAAAGTCAATCCGCTTAACTATTACAATATATTTATTATTATTATTATTTTATCCCAGAATCAGTAATAATTGATACTAAAATGCTTTTTTGACTGTCAAGTATTATATATCGTGCCTAACCATGTCATCAATAATATCATGTACAAATATAAAGTACAAATGTAACAAAATATGAATTGAGTTGACAATAGTTTTTTTTTTCTTTATCTGAAATCTCAAATGCTGAATTTTGGTCAAGTGTTTACAATAAGGAAAAACCTTTGAGCATTCATTAGAAATAGACAAGTTTCACTGTCTGTTTCAGATAAGCAGAGTTCAAAAGAGTAGTCACCACCGATCAACTGCAGTCATTCTTGGATGGACTAGACTAGATGCCTTGGTGTCTTTTAGAGCTGTACAAAGCAGCTGTATCATCAAGCAGGAGGTTGAGCCTTAGCAGTGTTATACAGTGCCTTGATAAGGAGGTATGAATACAAATGAACTCGATTTGATCAATTTGCTCTAATATAAGTGTTCTAATTTATATATTGGAGTCACTCAGTCTTGTTTATAATTGTATGTAGGACACAAATCTGAACAGAAGAAAAGCTGCCTTACTTAGCCTTCCACGCTTCCTTTCAGAGGACACTTCTGAGATAATCAAAATGTGTGATGTAAGAAAATATGTTTACACATTGTTAATGTACTGATGATACTAAATTCATTGTAGAGCAGTATGTGTAGGGAAAAAGTCAATCCGCTTAACTATTACAATATATTTATTATTATTATTATTTTATCCCAGAATCAGTAATAATTGATACTAAAATGCTTTTTTGACTGTCAAGTATTATATATCGTGCCTAACCATGTCATCAATAATATCATGTACAAATATAAAGTACAAATGTAACAAAATATGAATTGAGTTGACAATAGTTTTTTTTTTCTTTATCTGAAATCTCAAATGCTGAATTTTGGTCAAGTGTTTACAATAAGGAAAAACCTTTGAGCATTCATTAGAAATAGACAAGTTTCACATGCTTGCTCTTATTGCTTTAGTAAGAGTTTACTACATGAGTATTGTTCAACACTGTCAATGACCATGTATTGTGCAAATCATTCAAAGGTCAAAAAGTTACATGTACTTGTTTATATAGAGTACACTTACAATCTTTAAAGTAATTGATGAGCCGTTATTTTGTATCATTACACACGGCCTGCCACTCCTCATTTTCCCCCAATTCATGCCTTTTTCTTTCCCCCTCAGTTAAGTTTTCTATACCTCGACTCTTTTATACCACTCATCTACCTTTCTTCTAGTTCTGTATAATATTAGAGAAACTCCGATGTTTTGATGAAATGGATGTTTAAGCACTTGTGTTCTTAAATGGCTTTTTAAAACCTGTTTTCCTAACAAGAATTTGTATTCTCAAACCAATGTTAAAGCTTGTAGATCATTGCTTGAATTTATTCCAATAACATTTTATTATTTTTGAGCAGACCAGTTACAAGTCTATTTATTATGAGCTGATCTGAGTTTTCTTGAACTGATAATGTAACATAGTAAGTTGTTTTAACTCAGAGCATCAAGTTGAAACAACAAATGACCATTAGTTTAATAAATTGAGTTGAAACATAGAGTATCTTTTAGTTGAGTTAACTCTAATTTTTAAGGCAGCAGGTGAACTTTCGTTTTTAAGTTTAACCAACTTGAAATGTTTTACAGTATATATATATATATATAGCTATTTTTCATTCTTTATAGTGTAGACATGTAGAACATATATGCGTTTGTGCATCAATGTCTGTAATGTGTGCTGTAGGTGTGAAACTTTTAGGAATCGGTATTGCAGGATCCGCGAATGAAACTGACCACAAACTCCATTAACTTAAGTGAATTATATGGCAATATTCAGCAATATGCTTTCATACAAATAATTTTATTTTTGAATGTTTCAATATGTGTTGACACAAATGACTTATTTTCATTTTCCATTGATCCAACATGGCACTGAGTTGTTAGAAAAGAAATGCGTATCAAGTCGTTATTGCTTGATAACGTCAGGAATCGGCTTTTTGAACCGGTTCAATAGTGAGCCGATCTGTCCGAAAAGAACCGGTTCAATGAGCCGATCTGTCCGAAAAGAACCGGTTCATTGTATGTAGGACACAAATCTGAACAGAAGAAAAGCTGCCTTACTTAGCCTTCCACGCTTCCTTTCAGAGGACACTTCTGAGATAATCAAAATGTGTGATGTAAGAAAATATGTTTACACATTGTTAATGTACTGATGATACTAAATTCATTGTAGAGCAGTATGTGTAGGGAAAAAGTCAATCCGCTTAACTATTACAATATATTTATTATTATTATCCCAGAATCAGTAATAATTTATACTAAAATGCTTTTTTGACTGTCAAGTATTATATATCGTGCCTAACCATGTCATCAATAATATCATGTACAAATATAAAGTACAAATGTAACAAAATATGAATTGAGTTGACAATAGTTTTTTTTTTCTTTATCTGAAATCTCAAATGCTGAATTTTGGTCAAGTGTTTACAATAAGGAAAAACCTTTGAGCATTCATTAGAAATAGACAAGTTTCACATGCTTGCTCTTATTGCTTTAGTAAGAGTTTACTACATGAGTATTGTTCAACACTGTCAATGACCATGTATTGTGCAAATCATTCAAAGGTCAAAAAGTTACATGTACTTGTTTATATAGAGTACACTTACAATCTTTAAAGTAATTGATGAGCCGTTATTTTGTATCATTACACACGGCCTGCCACTCCTCATTTTCCCCCAATTCATGCCTTTTTCTTTCCCCCTCAGTTAAGTTTTCTATACCTCGACTCTTTTATACCACTCATCTACCTTTCTTCTAGTTCTGTATAATATTAGAGAAACTCCGATGTTTTGATGAAATGGATGTTTAAGCACTTGTGTTCTTAAATGGCTTTTTAAAACCTGTTTTCCTAACAAGAATTTGTATTCTCAAACCAATGTTAAAGCTTGTAGATCATTGCTTGAATTTATTCCAATAACATTTTATTATTTTTGAGCAGACCAGTTACAAGTCTATTTATTATGAGCTGATTTGAGTTTTCTTGAACTGATAATGTAACATAGTAAGTTGTTTTAACTCAGAGCATCAAGTTGAAACAACAAATGACCATTAGTTTAATAAATTGAGTTGAAACATAGAGTATCTTTTAGTTGAGTTAACTCTAATTTTTAAGGCAGCAGGTGAACTTTCGTTTTTAAGTTTAACCAACTTGAAATGTTTTACAGTATATATATATATATATAGCTATTTTTCATTCTTTATAGTGTAGACATGTAGAACATATATGCGTTTGTGCATCAATGTCTGTAATGTGTGCTGTAGGTGTGAAACTTTTAGGAATCGGTATTGCAGGATCCGTGAATGAAACTGACCACAAACTCCATTAACTTAAGTGAATTATATGGCAATATTCAGCAATATGCTTTCATACAAATAACTTTATTTTTGAATGTTTCAATATGTGTTGACACAAATGACTTATTTTCATTTTCCATTGATCCAACATGGCACTGAGTTGTTAGAAAAGAAATGCGTATCAAGTCGTTATTGCTTGATAACGTCAGGAATCGGCTTTTTGAACCGGTTCAATAGTGAGCCGATCTGTCCGAAAAGAACCGGTTCAATGAGCCGATCTGTCCGAAAAGAACCGGTTCAATGAGCCGATCTGTCCGAAAAGAACCGGTTCAATGAGCCGATCTGTCCGAAAAGAACCGGTTCTCGGAAATGAATCGGACTTTGCATTATCTGATATTGGACAGCGTTGCCATTATAGCAATGCCAATGGCGAATATTATTCCTGTGATTGACAAATCAGAAACAAGTATGGAACAGTGTAATAATAATAATTAAAAAAAAATCTATCTATCTATAGAAAAAAAATATCTATGCCTATTCTATTCATGTTGACTGCTGCGCCGTTATCTAAAAATCTACTGCTTGCGTCTAACTTCTCATATTTACCTGTTTGATCGGTAGAGATCCATCTGTAATCTATTTCTTCCCTTCGACCCACGAAGGTGCAGACAGGACGCACACTGCAGCCGACGGTAGTCTACTCTACTGCACATAGAGGGCGTTTTCCCAGCATGAGAAACATTTGATCGGTATTGCAAACCCACATACTACATCACTGAACACAAATCAGAGAGGGAAGCAAGAGCTCAAGTACAGTGTGCGGAGCATCTGTAGTATATACTGTGAATCTTCCACATGCGTTTGGACTCTTACTGCACAGCCGGTGGATATTAAATCACTATCGGAGATTTGTTTCCCCTTAAAGTGGCTGTAGATATCTCATCGAACTTGATTTGACCAAAACACCTCCTGTTCTTGATGATACAGTGCTGTTTTTAAACACCGCGGCTGATAGGATATAGCGAGCGTTCAGCCGGTGGCCACGCCGGTCGACAGAGCACCTCCTCCCGGCCACAGGCAGCACGGAGCTGCCGCGGGCTCCGGTACCGGTGACATGATGATGATGATGTCTTGCTCCGGATCGGTGGTGCTGCCGGCCGGGGTGATAAACCCCTCGGTTCCGATTCGGAATATCAAGACGAAATTCGCAGTCCTCACCGGTCTCATTCAAGTCGGCGAGGTCAGCAATAGAGATATAGTGGAAACAGTGTTGAATCTGGTAAGTGGCACTTCTTGTGGCTGGGTTTCAAAACCTACTGAACTCACTGTTAGACAGCATTTTTGGGGCGCTTTGAATGATCCAGTGGATTCTAGATAGGCAGTTATTTTGGTTTTGATGAACACTGCATGAACCTCATGAATCAATGATGTTGTGATGTATCACAGGTTGTGAATATTAGGCTGCAGCTCTTATGTGCTCATTACATTCACTGACATATGGTAAAGTGTCTGTCATTAACAGCAACCAAACAGGTGTCTTTCTGTAGTTTATATGCAACCTGTGCTACAGTCATACACTGAACAATTAATAAACCTTCTTAGAAACAAGACAGTCTCACTAAACATGTTAGACTTTTTGTTAAAAACAATTTGGTAGTGGTGGAAAAAAACAAACAAACTTGATTTAAAAAAAAAGTTTGCTTCTGAAGTATGTTTTTAAGGATGTTAACCTATTTTTCTGGACAACTAGACAAACAACACGGTTATTTATGTGTTTACTTTTTTTCCAGGGTAGCTATTTGAAATTGACTAATCAAAATTATAAAGTTTAATGTGTAAAAAAAACAAGACATGTGACTAACTTTGTAAACAAAATATTTGTGGGGAAGATTTAAATGAATTTGTCTCACTTTATTCAAAATGACAATATTTAGAGGAGCATCCAGGCCTAAAAATGTCCTTCTTTCTCTCACTTCTTTATTAGTACATGCCAACACAGAATACAACTTTTTTTGTACTCCGTGTTAAAGTCATAATCAACATTATTTCCATTAAAAATTATATATGCTATTGCTATGTATGGAGCATCTGGGAAATAAATAGGCTTATATATTCATATATCACAACATACAATGTTAGTCTGAAAGCACTATGCAATTAAGTTTGTCCTTGTGTGTCAGTGCAAGTGTTTGGTGACATATTTATTGTGTTACACACTGACAATCTTTTGATTTGATTATGCTTAGTCTTTGTCTGTAAAAACAGGCAGACTCATTGCATGCTTGTTTAGCTAATGCACTTTAGTCTTACGTTATTAGTGTATTTGCTGAGTATGTGCTACAATATGCCTGAACCAGGGTGTTTGGTCAAACATTGCTTATTCTTTAACTCTGGTATTGCGAATGTTTTGTACTGTGATTCTTAATAACCTGAGTAATGAGATGTCAGACAAACAGCACTGACCTGCTGGAAAAGACTAATCGTATTATGATATTTATCCTCCTAGGTGGGATTTTTCAGTCAACTTGATTGATTTTACAAATGCAGATGCTCTTAGTTTGGTGTTCTGACCTGAGGAATATGAATGAAGAAACCAGAGGCTCATCCAGCATAGAAAAACTCAGGAACTTTAGTTACTGTTGTCTGTCTCACACAGTAGCAGCACACGGTGAGTCAAGGAGGCGATGCTGACAGCATTTAGACAACAGGTCTGTTCCTGAGCTCACATGTGCTGCTCTTTATGGCACGCCAGGGTGCATTTCTGATTTGACAGCCACCGTTTGCTAAGGCTTCTTCAGCCACCATGTACAACATGTATTTTCATCAATCAGTTAGCTGTTTTAGAGACATGGAGAGTACCTTTTTTGTGTTTTACCAAGTACTTGCATGTTGGGTTGTTGCAAGAACAAAATGTCAGAGGTCAATACCAAAATCAGTGACAATTTCATTATTTTTGAAACCACTGCAAAAACTAATATGTAGGCACTCGTGGTTTTATGTCTTATTATAAATACAAAATGGAATATACCAAAACATTTCTTAAACAGAATATGCATTTTGTGATGCAGACAGATCCTTTTGTCCACTAAATTAGGCACCCCCTGAAAGACATATAAACTCAGAAAAAAAAAGTCAGAATTATGAGATGTTTGCAAGATATGAACATGGATTTGCTAGAAATCGAATCGGAGCCGTGAGAACTTAACTTAAAATGGCAAGATGTAAACTTGGAATTTTGAGAAAATAGTCAGAATTGCTAGATGAAAACTTAAAATTGTGAGATTTTAACTCAGAATTGCTAGAAATAAAGTCAGAACTGTGTTGTAAACTCACAATTCTGAGAAGAAAAAGAATTGTGAGATGTTAACTCAAAATTGCAAGACAAACATGGAATTGCTATAAATCAAGTCCGACTTTTGTTAACTCACGATTCTGAGAAAATCGTCAGATTTGTAAGATGTTAACTCAGAATTGTGAGATATAAACCTGGAATTCTGAGAAAAATGTCAGAATTACAAGATGAAAACTCAAAATGTACGGATTTGAACTCAAAATAGCTGGAAATGAAGTCAGAATTGTGTGTTATACACTTGCTGTTTTGAGAAAAAAAAATCTGAATTGCGAGATTTTTATTCAAACTCACGATTCTAAGAAAAAAGTTAGAAATGCGAGATGTTAACGCAATATTGCAAGATATAAACATGGAATTGTTAGAATTATAGTCAGAATTGTGAGATAAAGAGTCGCAATAACATTTTTAATTTTGTTTTTACTTGGAAACAGGCTTCCATACATAGAACTGGCTGCATTTACACTGCTAGGTGTAATGATTTGATATTTTTGACTTTCTTTTGGACTGTTGCTTTACATTCAGATAAGACAAACCATCAATTTTTACATTAATACATCGCTAAGACAAAAGTTATGCTCCATTATGTGACCAAAGGTTAAGAGATATGAAACATTTTCTGCAACACACTGTAAGCCTTGCTACCAAGTCTTTTTTATTGTAGTGTCAATTTGATGCCAAAGTACTTTTGACTGTTAGATCAGCATAATGAAAAGCTGACTAATTGTGCTTTTCCACTGCGTGGTACGATTCGGCTCGGCACGGCTCAGTACGTCACGACACGGCACGGCTCGGCTCGGCTCGGCTCGGTTTGCGTTTCCACTGCAGCTTAGTACCGCTTTAGAGTTGGTGGGATTATTCACATGTCGTTATAGTTGCGCCGCCTCTACTGCCATGACTCCTGGAAAAACTTTTTCATTCCACGTCGCCCCATCAAGCTCTCGCTGGATCCACTCCTCTGCTGTCAATGAAAGGAACATCTGTACTTCCTCAACAGACAACGAAACAGCCATTTTTTGGTTGTTAAAAAAAGGTGCGTTCGTTCAAAACTTGCGTTTTGATCCTTCGCTGGCTGTGCTGATTTAAATCTAGCGGTTCTGTTGTGTCTCGTGTTGCAAGTTCAGTGATGCAGGTAGTGACAATTCTCTCCGGCCAATCAGTGATCAGCAGAGTTTACACGTCACATTTTGGTAACAGTACTGTTCGCTTGGAACCTCAACCGAGGTGGTACTGAAAAAAGTACCAGGTACCAGGTACTATACCCAGTGGAAAACGCCCCAAAAGTGAACCATACCGTGCCGTACCATGCAGTGGAAAAGTGCCATAAATGTCTTGGTCCTTGGTTCTATCCAAGTTCATGATACATTCAGCCACTTTCTCATCGTGTTAGAAATGTCACCTGAGCAATCCAGGGACACAGCTCTCCGATGTGGCAAACTGCCTTAACCCCTACATATCTGAACCTTGATATTTGCAGCCTCATTGTTCCCGCTCCAGAGATTAATTACGGGCCTTTCTGTCACAGCGGGGAGAGACGACATCAGACCGGACAGACAAGACATGTTGCAGCCCTCAGCATGTCAGGGCAAAGACATCGTCCTGTTACTCTGAGGGACTTTCAATAATCTCGATACAACCCTGACTTCTCTTAACTGTGAAGTGAGAAGAACAGCACACGAGGCAAATCTCACCTTTCTTGATTTAAAAGAGAGGTGAATTCACAACTCAAAATGTGACCGTCAAAGCGAGAAGTTTTAGAGAAGTACACAAGTCAAATTTTGTACCATGTTTCACAGTTACAATCATCCTATCATTGTGTTAACACTGGTGTTCTTGTCAGTGTCTCAGAGACACGGTATATGAGAAGAACAGCAGTGTGGTTGCTTTAATGTCTCGATTAAGAATTGATCGCTGGAGTCTCTAGTGTGCAATGACTCGGAGATGTGTAATGGAATTGATCCCGCTAGATTTACTTTGGTTGTTTTGACCGAGGCAACAAACTCACTCGACTTTATCGTATCGTTAAATCTGATCCAAAAGAATCAAACGGTGGGAAGTTACACCTTGTTTGTCACATTGTACTATCAGCACACTTTAAATCTTGTGTACCGATTTTTAGAGAGACTCTGACAAAGTAACTCTGTCACTCCGGAAGTGCGATGTGTCACGGAGATCCCTGTGTTGGACAGGATGATGTGTTCGAGCAGGAACAGGAATAGGGCCATCAGTCTGCCAGGTAAGACAGGAAGAACTGTCAAGCCGGACTCGATCTATCAGAACTAGGCACCCCATGTGAAATTCAAACCCAATGTAAATACCGAGCCCCTTTTTTTCTCTGTCCAAGGATGCTGCTATTTGTTACACTTGAGCGGTTTGAGTTCAAACTCAGACTTGTGGGTGGTGAAACAGTGACTAGTAGGAAACAGAGAAGATTAACAATTAAGAAGGTCTGTCAAGGATTTGAACAAACTGCAAAAGAGACTCTTTTCAAAGCTGGATCTAAAAATGCTTTTTGTATAATTCTGCGAACCTAGCAAGTAGGATTCTATATTTTACTAAGGACTTTTAATTAAATAGAAACCAGTTTTAAAAAAAAATGTCTAGAATTTTTTTTTCATCTATCTGATCTTCTCCTTTGAGTGTAGTTTTCAAAGTATGGTTGAGCCCATAGAACCGCTTGCGGGAAAGTTATGAAAGTTTCGGCACAGTGCCACCTAGTTGTCAGGAGATATAAGCAAAAATAAAAAATTTTCATAACTTCTGAATGGTTTGGCCAAAAATCACAAACGATTTAGATTCAGTGCAACATGCCGAGTCGAACCATACCCAATTTTCCCATGTCAGCCACTTTGGGCGTCGGCCATTTTGGATTTTGTCGTAAAATGCTATATTTTATGAACGCATTGGCGTATCGCTGTGAAACCTGGTAT